CACAGATCTGATCTCCAAGAATATTCACATTGTCTCTAGTTAATATTGTGTATTATATAAGGTTATGTATAATATTTCAAGATGTATGTGTATTTATATGACATACTGCAATGTATGTACTTTTACATCTTAGTATAGTTTATGGTTAAATTATTTTGTTTAGTCTTTGTGTGTTTATAAGTGTTGACAGTTGGTTAACTTGTGATAATTTTAAAGTATACAGTTATAATGTTGCATTTGTGTTGTAATGTAACTGGATTCATGTATACTAAATGGCATAAATTTACCAGTTTTATGAAATAGAATTAGTTGTAGAAATAACTGATTTAGCCCTATTTGACGAAAAAGGTCTTTGATTCTATGCGTTTATTGTTTCCATCAACTGATTAAGTTCTCCTAAGAGTAAAATTATAGGTGCGTCGGAGGCATAGTGGTTAGGACGCTCGCCGACCATGCACATGGTGCGGGGTTCGATCCCCGGCCGACGCACTCCTTTACCTCGCTAAGCCAGAAATAATGCTGGTGAAGAGGAAAGGTTGGGCGTGAGGCTAGCAACCCCATCCTGTAAAATAAACACTGCTACAGCAACATCAAGCCACTAACTTGAAGCCCTATGTTCCACTGGGGAACGTGAAGAAAAAAAAAGAGTAAAATTATATCAACGCCACGTGTTGGGTGACGCACAACGGAAAAGTCAACGTGGCGTTTGAAGTGAATACAGGAGTAAGACAAGGCTGGTTGCCTATCAGTACCGATGATATTCTTAATTGTGGTGGACTGGATTATGCGTCAGACTGTACTTTGGGAGACAGGAATACGCTGGACCACCGATAAGAAGACTCTAGAAGATCTGGATTTCGCCCGTGCATGACTTGTGTCTAATGTCACACAAACTCAAAGACTCACAGGCGAAAAGCAACGAACTGGCAGAAGGGGCAGGCTGTCAGCGAAGACAGGACTGAAGGTGAACATAGAGAAGACGGAGGTAATGAAGATAACAACACCAATCACCATCAGCAAGAGAGAGATTTGACAGAGCTTACTTCCTTCACTTATCCGGCCAGGAAGAACACGGTTCCAACCACAGGCCGGCGGACAGGATGAAGATTTCAAAGTTGGCCAGACACGGAAAGGCATGTCACGCCTTCATCACTCTGAAATGAGTTTGGGAATCTTCTGCACTGAGAAGCATAAACAACAAAATTCTAATTTTCAACACCAATGTTGAGTCGGTCAGTTATTCTATATGGGTCAGAAACTTGACAGGTCACGCAAAACATTTCCAATACCTAGACTTTCGTCAAAGGCTGCCTTCGTTGGCTCCATATTGAAGATCAGACGGTCAGTCAGAAGAAAATAGAAACAAGAATCTCTGGCAACAAACCAATCAAAAGCCGATTGCTCAACAAGTATACAGACGAAAATGGAGATGGACTGGACATGCACTGGGGAAACCGTCGAATGAAATCATGGGGCAGGCCACTCCGGAGAATGCTACTGGGAAGCGAGAAATTGACTGTAGGCTCGAGGATGACATGTAGGAAGTCGTGCGAGGAGGAGATAAGAGATTATGGGCAGTCATAGATCCAGCTAAAGAGGACAGCAGAAAGTAGAACAAAGTGGAGATGTTGTTGTTGAAGGCCTCTGTTCCACTCGGAACTCAAGAGAATAATAATAATTATTATTATTCTGACTTTAATGACCACTTTCAATGAGTTAAAATGTCTTATTAAATTCCGACAGGCATGCAACTGTATCAACTTTTCAGTTGACCATTCCATGTGGGTTTCCTTGGGACTCTAACTATCTTAAGGTTTCGTCTGGTTTTCTTGTCAGTTCCATATCAAGAAACCGGATTTTAGATTCGTTTCCTATTTCAAAAATAAATTTTATTGCCAGATTACAGTTGTTCAATATTTGTAACAGCTGAGGTTATAGTTATTATCACAAATAATGAAAACGTCGTCCACTTATCTTGTATGCAGTTGAAATTTGTCAGTTGTCGATGCTAACTGACCGTTCTTGAGGCTTGTCATGAAACACTTTATGAGAAATTCGCATTAGGACATGTAGAAACTGAAAACTAGTGATTCAGCCAAGAGACCATTTACAACGATTTTACTATGTATCTTTACAATCTTAAGTATATGTGATAATAATGTTAATTATGACAAAATATTTTGTAATTACAATCATAGTTAAAGGTAAAGCAACAGAATAGGTTATGTAATATATGAAAAAGGTAATGGGACCTATAGATCTTATAATGGAGTGTTATTATTTATTATGATTATTTTATGGTTCGCTTGGGTTCCGAGCTGAACATATCGCTTCAACAGCACAATTCCAATTCGTTCTATTCTCCTCGGTCCTTTTTAGCCCGTTGCCCACGGTTGCCCATAGTTTTTCATCTTCTCGTCACACGATCGTCTCCATGTTACCCTCGGACACCCCACTCGTTGTTTTCCATTCACCTTTCACTCGAGCGATGGCCCCTGGTGTGTGATGTCATTCGACGGTCTCCTCTGTGTGTATGTGTGTGTGTGTCCGACCCATCTCCATTCTCTCCCATATATATTTATTGAGCAATAAGCTGTTGGTTGCTTAGTTCCCAGAGTTCCTTGTTGCTAATTCTTCCTGGCCATCTGATATTGTGTATTAAGGCGGCGAGGTTAGCTGTTGATGAAAGTCTGCAGTAGCCTGTTGAAAATGCTTCTCGTGATTCTTAAGCGAGGTTTCTGAGCCATATAGAAGCAGTAACCCAGTCGAATTTTGTCGTTTGTACTGCGGAGTCGAGAAGATTTCCAAACTGATTTTGGGGTAATGAATGTTTGTCTTGCCTTGCCGATTCTGGACGAACTTGACATCTTCATCCGTTCCACCTGTATTTGTGAAATGATGCTACCTGGTTAGACAGATGCAGGATGTTGACCTCTTTCGAATTTCTTCCGTTGGTAGAGATTGGTGCTGGTGAGTTGGTTATCCTCATCACCTATGTGATCTCTAGGTTCACTCGAAGTTCTGTTTTCACTGACTGCTTCTTCTGCCAACTTGTTGGTTTTCACATGTGAGTCTTGGAATTTATGTGACATTAAACATAAATCATCCTCACGCGAAATCCAAATCTCCTAGAGTTTTGTTGTCGGTCAACGCTCGCACCTACGGTGCTCCGCATAATCTAGTCGACTACAATTAAAAATATGATCAGTGACAGTTGTCAGCATTGTCTTTCTCTTGCATTCACTTCAATAGCTTCGCTGAGTGAACCGCTTGACATGTGATATTGTCATATGGATATGATGGAGAAGATTTCTGGCTCATGTGGATGATTTTGATGTAGTTGTGTTCTCTGAGCTGGATAGTTTTCTGCGATGCTTTTAGAACCCTATTAGGCAACATCTTCAGCACATACTTCAATTTGATGAAGTGAGCTTTTAGATTTCTCCACGAGTTTATTGGTCATCTCTCCTGGCGGGTGACCTTGAACGTGATTGGTTGTTTTTGTGTGTTTTCACATCCTCTAGACTACTTGTATTGGAACTGATTGTTTCCGTGATTTGAATTTTGACCCTTTGTGTGTGAGATTTCCTTCTTATCGATTGGTAAATTTTGTCTATCTCGATGTGTCTATTGATTGATGATTCACTGGAATGCCAAGCTTCTAAAAATTCTTTAGCATTCTTGATGTTTCCTCTGTTTGATATTTGAACATTGTCCCAATCGAATTGATGCCGGTGGTTGTCTGTATGTAGTGATATTAGCGTGGGAGTGTATGTCATTTCTTTTAACGGCTAGCTAATGATCATTGATACGAAAACGAAGGGGACGTCCACTTTGACCAATATGGTGTTTTTCGCAGTCGTTGCAATTTATTTTGTAGATGATGGTAGTTTTACCTTCTTTCGTTGTTAAATCTTTTGGTTGACATAGAACTGAGTGAAGTGATTTTGTTGTTTTATGTGCGACAACAATTCCTGAAGGTTTGAAGAGTCTTGCAAGTGATTTCTGAGATGTCTTATATATATGGTAGGGCGATTTTCTTTGTGTTTTTTTGGGGAGCCTTTGATTTGGTAGGTTGGCTTGGAGGTATATGTCTTTTGATGAAATTCCGTGAATATCCAGTCTTTTGGAAGACATCCATGAAATATTCTTCTTCAATTTTCCTTAAGGTGGGAGTGCTGCAGTGAGTCCTGGCTGGCCGTCTTGAATAGTGTTTGTATACAATTCCTTTTGTGTGTTATTGGATTGTTGCTGTTGTAATTGAGTATTTGGTCCGTGTGGGTTGATTTTCTATAAACTTGAGTTTCTAATTCCCCTGTGGTTGTTCGCTTGACTAAGACAACCACAACTGGCATTTTATTCTCAGATTCCTCTTCTCTTGTGAATTTGATGTCGTTGAAGACGTTGTTTATTAAGTTGCGAGTTCTATCCAATTCGTTTCTTTTGATTATTAATCAGTTCCAATGCAAGTAGCCTAGAGGATGTGAAAACGCACGAAAACAACCAATCACGTTCATGATTACCCGCGGGGAGAGATGACTGTTAAACTCGTGGAGAAATCTAAAAGCTCACTTCATCAAATTGAAGTATGCGCTGAAGGTGTTTCCTAGTAGGGCAATGAAAGCTTCACAAATAAACCATCCAGTTCAGGGAACAACTACATCAAGATACTGTCATATAGAACTGCTGCACGAATGAGGTTGATAACGGTTTTGGACACTTCACTCCATAGTATTGAAGTAATTTCCAAATTACTTTGTAGTCAACGCTGTTGAAGGCATCTTCAAGGTCGATTACGTTGAGGTAGAGTGAGGTTTTATTGCCATTTTATGTTCTGTGGAATAAATCAAATTACTAGGCAAATAATAATGTGTAACAAGGTGAGAATTTTGATGAGCTCGCGATTACAGCCTTTTTTCTTTACACTTCTCTAATAATTTTTAATAAACTTTATTCATAATTGCTCATGTATTTTTCTTCTTCTTCTTCGAAATTTATAGTTTTTTGAATCACGTGTGGCAGTTTTAAATTCTAATTTGTCTGTTATTCCACCTGATGACTTTGAAGACACCATTGATCATGTTTCTCTACCACGACGGTCTGGGGGATTCGCCGATTTGCTTAATTTCGGTCGGAGTGAATTTGACAAAATAACTCGAAAGGTGAGTGAGTTTCTTTGAAGGAAATTCTTTGTATTATCTAGTGTACTTTATGATTGAATTCCCCGCCCCCCGTTTACTATCATAGTAATGAATTCGTTCTGTCTGTCTGTTTTCGACATAGAACTTTGCACATATGTGCGTTCTGTAAACTTCATGGTTACAATATCTAGACAGTTATCCCAGTAGAATAATCGAAAACTTGTGCTTCATCCTATTTTCAACTATTATCAACTGAAAATGTCATCATCTCTGAGAATCAATCACTAATCTGTTCTTTATTGTTTCAAGTTTCACAACGGATTGATATCAGTTAGGGAACCATTGAAAACCACCGGAGAGCACTGGACAGCAATTTTGCCCTGGTTTGGGACTCATCACCATTCCGAACCAGTACCAGAATTCGAACCCAGATAATTCTGACTATAGGTCAAGCTCGTAGATGACTATTCAGCCACTGGAACCTGATCCAATGCCCCATGAATTCTAGCTTCTACCGATTCGTGACTATCTATTGGACTAATCTATCTCGATAGTTACTTCACATAACAGTTGTGGGTTATTGGATACATCAGTCACTGTTTTTTTCGCTTCACTGAAATTATTGGCTGTTCTGCTTGCGGAATGACTATCCTAAGAGCTATGACTAGGTAGGCATGCGTAACACATGTCCTAACCATCTCAGTCGGTGTAACTTCACAGCCTCGTCGATTGATTTCCCCTCCTTACCTAGCACTCGACCGATGTCTAACCTCAATATTGCTCACCTTATTATACCACTTCACACGGGAGATAGAACTCAGGCACCTATGATCAAAAACAGGTAACCTTTTCATGTCTTCGACTCGCTACGGCCAGGTCTCACAGCCATTAAGGAGGACAGAGCGAATTGCTGAGCAGTAGACACGCCCTTTGGTTGATAGCCGGATATCACGTTTACGCCAGAGATGGCGTAAACTGGTATATGCGAAACTAGCCCTCTGTATCCGTGCTGAGATTTCGTCAGAGATCAACCCACTGGCGTTAGCTGTTACAACTTCCCAAATAAGTGAAGCTATCAACACGCTCCACCAACCACTTCACTCCCTATTTCTAAATTTGGAGTCAATGTAGTCCAGTCCTGTAACATCTTACATTTGGCGGGAGCGAATCGCATTCCAAACATTCGTAGATTGAACACCTTGAGTGGCGAGCTACATTTCTGCCTATTATAGATCTTTTGATTTCTTTCTTTCATCTATCTTCATGTGTTATAAAGGAGGTGGGGGGGTGGCAGCTTGTATTGCTACACTTCTGTGCATATTTCGGTATTGAAATTCAGGCTGTCATTAAAAACCACTTTCACAATCGATTTCTTAAATAAAAAGTTGTGGTTAGTGTGTGTGTGTGTGTGCAATTGATTTCTTGTATTAAGACATCGGCTGACAGATTAAATTCACCAGCAATAGCACTAGATAATGATTTCTAATGAACACGGGTGTTATTATTAGTAGTACTCAAGAGTGTGTCTACCTTTTTCACATAACTTGATATCAGCAGTTCTAGGTTGTTATCTTTCTTAAAGAATATAAGCCTTACTCTATGTTTAATTAATTATAATTAATTATGTAATATAGCTGAGTCATTGTTTTGTGTGATGATTAATTGTTGTTTATCTGTAAACATTCTTGTAGAATGTTGTAGAATATGCTTTCTGTGTCTTCTGCGCTCTAAGTATCAATTAAGCGTCATCACGTAGATGCATGAAACTCTATACTTCGTTTTTTTTAATTACTACAAACTTGTCACAGCTTTAAACTTCACTTGATCAGTTACAATTTAGATGACATGCTGTTATCAAGTTTACTTCAGCGAAATATAATTCAAATAATTACATTCTATATTACAGTGCTATCGGTTAAATTATCATATTTTTATTTTAAAATGTTATTTATTGCTAATACATGATTTTAACAGGTTTTTTTAAGCAAAACTAAACGACAGTTATGACAAAGAGAAAATTGGTGAGAAAATTCCAGAATTATTTCTAGTTAGGCGTTAGAATGCAGTAGTGCAAAACACACACTTATTTAATTGAATTTTAGATTTTCCCATCGATTGATTGGACCAAAGTGCTTGGTCTCAGGTTGACATGTCTGTTGGCTTCTTGTGCAGATGCTTCGACGATGTCTGGGTATGTAATGAGAAGTGAATTGGTGGATGGTGACTAGCAGTGGAATCCAGCCAGATGCGCATTTCGTCCTATTTGGGACTCGTCACCGGATGTACCTGGATTCCACTGCTAGTCACCATCCACCAATTAAATTCGAATTAAATGCCCAGACATCGTCGAAGCATCTGCACAAGAAGCCGACATGTCAACCTGAGACCGAGCACTTCGGTCCAATCAATCGACGGGAAAATGTAAAATTGAATTAAATATAATTAATATGATCCGTTGCACAAGAGGAAGCGGCTCTCGTGGCCCGAGTGGTCTAGTGGATAACGCTTTGGCGTTTGAAACTATGGGCAATGGGTTCGAGCCTCCGTGGTGGGAACATCATCACTCAGTGACTGGGGAATGCAGATACATACAGCTGGCGAATCCCAAATAGGGCGAAATGCGTTTCATGGATTCCACTGCTTGTCACCATTTTTTTTTCCTTCACGTTCCCAGTGGAACATAGGGCTTCAAGCTAGAAGCTTGAAGTTTCTGTAGCAGTGTTTATTTTTACAGGATGAGGTTGCTAACCTCATGCCCAACTATTTATAGGCTATTGAATATAAGTATAAAACGTGGGCACTGTAGTAGAGTATCACTCCATTATAGATAAGATTTTATTTTGATAAATCACACAGTGTTATACAGTAATATTAACTGATGACCACGTTTCGAGCACAATTTTTTGCTACTCATAATCATATTAAGTCACTCACACAACTTTCTTGCTTCATTTATATACATGAGTGAAATTGATGATTAGACATTCGAATAAAAATCAATATAAGATAATGTACATTCAGAAATAATAATATCATATAGTATATTTCAATTCAAGCACATCACAACATTCTAACAAGTTACTTATTTTGACTATGAAAACACTCGCCTTATTTCCCATGTGATTGTAATTGATCAATAACACTCATATTATTATTTCTGAGTTTACATTATCTTATATTGATTTTTAATCAAATGTCTAATCATCAATTTCACTCCCGTATATAAATGAAGGAAGAAAGTTGTGTGAGAGAGTGACTTGATATGATTATCAGTGGCAATAGTTTGTGCTGGAAATGTCATCAGTTAATATTACTGTATGACAACACTGTGTGATTTATCAAAATAAAATCTCATCTATAATGGAGTATTTGAAGGCTAGCAGCAAAAGCCTTTTAATAGCTATGTGCAAAAGGATCTCTCCTAATATCGCCTTGAAATAAGCGATTTCAGCGCCGGAATCTTTTTCAAAGCTACATGAACCTGTTTATCAGTGTTCTTTATTTTCAAGTAAGTGAGAAGCCACTTCTCATTAAAGTTCTTCGGCGAATTTGCAGTTCTCTATTAAGAATGTTTTTTTTTACACAACAGGATGGTGTAGTGTTAAAGGAATTGAACAAGTTACTGAGGTTTCCTTGTCAAATTTGTTTTGGGTGAATACAAAAATTCATTTTTAGAAGTAACTGTTGGAGAAGCATGGATGTTGGATGAAATCAGATATCTCCCAGATCTTTTACAATGAAACAATTCACACTCAACTATAATGAAGGCATCCTCTTCGGCCTACTAGAAGGTGAACAAACTCACTCGAGGACCATATCACTACTGTCACTTAGTAGAAAAATTATGTTGGGAGAGAGAGGTTAAATAATAGTCTTATGTCTATAACAGCAGAAATGATCTTTCCCTTGTATTTTGAAAAATATCGTTTTAACTACTGGAGAAACAGATGAGGATGTCAAAAACAGAACTGGAAACACAAGGCCAGGCCTTCATCACTTTGAAATCAGTTTGAAAATTTTCTGAGCTGTGCAGCATAAAAAAATTCGATTTTTCAACGCCAGTGTAGGTCAGTGATATGATTCAAAAACTTGCCACATGCATCACAAAAAGCATTTCCAACAGACTACTGCAGAGTTTTATCAACATGTGCCTTCTCTGGCTTCATACTGAAGATCAGATGGTTGGTTTGCCAGAAAAAGTTATCAACTAGAAACCCTGTCAAACAACAAACCAATCAAGAGCCTTATCTCTCAACAAATATGCTGAAGAAGAAAGTGGTGATGAATCGAATACACTCTGAGGATACCGTCGGGTGGCATCACGCATACCAAGGCATGCCTCGAGCGAAACCCGAATGAGAAATGACCAGTGGAACGTCCTAGTGTGATATGCAGGAAGTTGTGTGAGGGGGAGATGCGGCATTATGGTTAATCATCAGAACGGATGAAAAGGACCGCAGAAAATAGGACAATATGGAGTTGTTCTGTCGAAGCACTGTGTTCCATTCGGAACTCAAGGGATTAACAGTAATAATATACTCTCTGGAGAACTTAAGTAATCAGTAAATTCATATTTTATATAAATGAAACTATAAGAAATTTTTTTTTACTATGCCTAATGGTTGCAACTCCAAGCATCATCATCGAACAAAGCATAGAATGGCAGTTAAACCTGTACCTCAACTTCATCGACTTCGAAAATGCCCTTCGACAGGCAGCATTGACCGAGAAGTAATTTAGAAACTGCTTCAACACTATGGAGTGTGGTGCCCAAATCTTTGTGAACCTCATTCAACAGCTGGCAATGGCATGCGTCAAGTGATCCACAATGGAAAACTCAGCGAGGCGTTCGAAGTGAATGCAGGAGTAAGACAAGCTGGCTGCCTATTATCACTGGTGATATTCTTAATTGTGGTGAACTGGATTATGCGTCGGACTGTACACAGGGAGTGAGAATAAAGGAATACACTGGACCAACGATAAGAAGACTATAGAAGATCCGGATTTCGCGCGTGGATGACTTATGTCCAATGTCACGTAAAGTCGAAGACTTGCAAGCGAAAACCAACAAAGTGGCTGAAGAGGCAGCGAAAACATAACTCCGGGTGAACAGAGAGAAGACGGAGGTGATGAAGATAACCAACCACAACCAACAACAACCAGCACCAATCACCATTAATAAGAGAGATTTAACAGAGGTTGCCTCCTTCACTTTTCTGGGAAGCGTCGTTTGAAATACAGGCAGAACAGATGAAGATGTCAAAGTCAGCCAGAGTCCGAAAGGCAAGTTACGCTTTCATCAACCTGAAACCAGTTTGGAAATCTTCCGCACTCAGCATAAGGAATAAGATTCGCATTTTCAACACCAATGTGAAGTTGGTTCTTCTATGCGGGTCACAAACTTGACAGGCATGTCACGAAAAGGATTTCCAACAAGCTATTTCAGACTTTTATCAATAGCTGCCCGCTTCGCTGACTCCATACTAAAGATCAAATGGCTAGGAAGAATAAGCAAAAATAAACTATGGGAACAAACCAACAGGCAAGAGCTGATCGCTCAACAAATATGTAGGAGAAAATGGAGATGGATTGAGCATACGTTTAGGAGACAGTTGAATGACATTGTGCGCAATGCAGGCCATCTCTCGAGTGGAACCCTAATGGGTAACGACGAGTGAGTCTTCGGTGTGAGGGTGATTTAAAGGGGATCGTGTGAATTGAAGGAGGAGATGAGAGATTATGGGCAGTCGTGTGGCTATCCAGCAGAAGAAGACAGGAGAAAATAGAAGAAAGTGGATATGTGTTGTTGAAGCCCTATATTCCACTTGGAATGCAAAGGAATAACACTAATTATAATAATAATGCCTAGTGGTTCGAACTAGGCCGTATTGTGTTCACGGTTTTGTCTTATTCAAAGAAATAATGAGTGAGAGGGAGTTAATTACCAACTTTAACAAACTCACCTTTTGCTATCAAACTTAAAGGGGATTAGCATCACTGTACATATGCGCAACTCGTTGTTCAGTATTCTGAAACCCAGTACGGTTTGCCTTATTGAGAAAAACGGCTGTTCTAATTTGTAAAACGAAATAAATGCACTTAATTGAGGGTAAAAAGTCGTTAAGATGGAATGTGGTGTTTTTAGCGTTATTTTATAAGGATATATTCAGTTCCAAGTTTAATCACAGATTGATATCATTTAAAGAACAATTGAAAACCAGCAGAGAGTACCGGACAAGTGTTTTGTCCCCGTTTGGGTTTCCTCATCAGTGCTCGCCTGTGAGTCAACCGGTGTAGAATCCAGGACCTTCAGGTAACAATACGAGAGCGTTGACCATTCAGCCACTGCGATGGCCCATCAATTCTAACTTCTATTATTAGTCTCTAGCTTTTTTGATTAAATGTAAGTATACTACTAACATACTGTTAGCATACTACTTAATTTAATGTTTTTAGTAGAACATACCACCGTCGATTTTGTTTGCACACTAATTTAGTCACCAATATCATACATCTAGTCCTTTGTTTGTTCATAACTGACTTGACTGATGTAATTCGATCTGCACTAAACCAGCAACTAAGATGCCTGAAGTTAGTTACTACCTGTTGTCCAAACAAAGTATCCAGTGCAATCCTTGCTATGATGTGGCGAGTTGACTACGCAATAACATTGAGATTGAAGTAAAATAGGGATGCTGAAGTCGAACACCAAAGTAGCAATCATGAATACGCTTGACTACGCCAACAACTTTATATTTCAGCTACCCGTTTTTCCAGGTAGCTCTATTTAAACCAGAACACACAACGAGGTGGGATGGAAAATATATATATTCAATAGTATCTGCTTGAGAAGCAAGAGCACTGCAGAAAACAATGACCTATTCCTGGGAGATGATCATAAATGCATATACATGCATAGCCAAGGACATAAATGTGAGCGTGGATATCCAGACTGACCTTGATCACCATAATCATAGGGCTTATTTTCGTCTGACTACATGTCAGTCCTACAGAAAGTCAATCGTGAGCGCAAACATCTCTAACTATACAGCAATCACTGGTTGACACGGATTCGAACCTCAGAGAGGAAGGGACATGAGTTATTCCTTCAACACTGCAAATACGCCTTCCTGACTGACTGACTGGCTGGTGATGAGTACCAAAAAGTACGAAACCTAAATCCAAGACTAAACTTCCTTCCGGCTACCTCCAACCATTTGATAACCACTGTCCATACTATCAATAATTGTTTAATCTTTTTGTATTAACAATCCACCATTTCCCTATGAAATACAAGGCATATGACAGTCGAAATGTGTCGATCAAAAAGTACCTTATATGAATTGAGAATGAATTGGAGGATCTGGACTTCGCCGATGATATATGTCTGATTTCCCACAAACTGGAAGATATGCAAACGAAAAGCAACAAGTTGGCAGAAGAAGCATCAAAGACAGGACTTCAGGTGAACATTGAGAAAACAGAGGTGATGAAGATTCCCGTGCAACAGCAACAACAACAACAGACAACAATCAGCATAAATGGAAGGAACCTGAAAGAAACAACCTCCTCTACCTACCTACCTACCTGAGAAGCATCGTTTCAACTACAGGAGAACGGAACTGACGAGGATATCAAAGCAAGAATCGGAAAGGCAAGACAAGCTTTCACTACTCTCAAATCTGTGTGCAGGTCAACAGCACTCAGCATGAAAATGGAAATAAGATCCGGATTTTCAACTCCAATGTGAAGTCAGTCAGTGCTACTATACGAATTAGACACTTGCACTGCGCGTCATAAAGAGCATCTCAAACAAACTACAGACCTTCATTAACAGTTGTCTTCGTTCAATACTACTCAAGATCAGATGGCCGGCCAGAAAAGATCAGCAACAGGGATCTCTGGCAATGAGCGAACCAACCCAGCAGGAACCGATTGTGCAGCAAATATGCAGGAAGAAATGGAGGTAAATTGGCCATACTCTGAGGAAACCATCAAGTGACATCACTAGACAAGCCATTGCTCGAGTGGAACCCGAAGGGGAAGCGGCGAGTTGGTCGTCAGTGCGAGGGTGACATGGAGGAGGTCATGTGAAGAGGAGATGAAAACGTGTGGACAGACTTGGAGCCAGATGAAGACTCGAGCAGAGAACCGAACTCAATGGAGACGCACGGCTGAAGCCCTATGTTCCCCTAGGAATTAAAGGATACAATAATATAACAATAATAATAATCATCCATCATACATAATAGTGTGACATACTGGCTACTTTTGTTTCAGATAATTGTGTGTGTGATGAATCACAAACAGTTTGTGATTATCACCTCTTGTTTTGCCTTGTCTTATTATGACACGAGTATGTGTGTTGATTGATATGTTTGTATTCACGTTGTTTTTTGTTAGATGAAATTACCTATAAAATTCAACAAACTGGTATGTGCAATTACATATGTGCATGGGTGTGTGTGTGGGTGTTAGTGTGCGTTTGTGTCTGTATGAGTGAACAGGGGAATGCATATTCATCGTTTGTTTATCTAATACTTGTTCATGTCATTATCATTATCATTAGTATTATTCATTCATTCATGTGTGTGTGTGTGTGCTAAGTACTACAGTGTTGTGGTTGTTGTATAAGAGTGCCAGTGAGTGAGTGAGTGATTTTATTTACAAAATGGCTAACCTAGTTGTGCTGTATATAAAACTATGTTGTAATATATGTGTAGTATCTATCTATATACCGTGGATATCATACTCCAGTTTACAACATCTATACCATTATATAAATGGCAGCACCCTAGTGCTAACTACTTTGCATTATGCAGTTTTTATTGATCCAGTATTAGCCATTTGCATTATATATGTCATATTCTCTCTATTTAAGTGTATAAGAAATTCCTGGTGTTGTGTTGTGTTGTTAGTTAGTTAGTCAGTAGAGTGTACCACCCGCTGTAGTGTATAATGTGAAAGTAGAATGATTATGTATTTAACTGTTACATTAACAAATGCTTGGCGGTATTGTAGCAAGCAAAATGAGAGAAATAGCGATTCAAGAAATTTGAACACGCCTGACTGACTTTGAGGCGACAGTCTAACTTTGATGTTAACTCTAACCCTGATCCCAACGTTAACTTTAATCGTAACCTTAATGCCAATCTTGATCGTTGTAACAGAGTTTTACTGATTTGACTAGAATGTGTCATCAGACAAGTAATCAATTGAAAATATTCCCCCCACATTGAGGTACGCACAAAAGTCAGACTTAATTGCGACAACACCAACTTTTATTATACAAAATACCGAGTATATATCGTTTACACCACAATGGAAATTTAAACCATAAATAGACAATCAATATCTGATTGATTGAGTGACCTTGACTATCCTCCAATCAGGTTATTATGTCAGTGCATGCATCCATCATAACTTCATGGCTAACAAAGACAGTTAGTTCATCCTAACAGTAATCCTAACAAGCTATCAAAACATTATCTAAATTATACTTAAAAACGATAGCGGGATGAAAATTCTACAGCATTCATCAAAATTGCTCTGTAATAATAGTTAGTCCCGTTATCCAACGAACAGTATGCGTTCAAAGTCATTGGTGCGTTCGCACTCCTTGGTCGCTGTTCTTTAACATGACTTTGTAGTAGTACCAGCAGTAATCCGACTTTATCAAATTAAAATATTATGGTTACTTTTAATATTATTATTATTGTTTCCTTTAGTTCCTAGAGGAACATTGGGCTTCAGCCGCACGTCTCCATTGCATTCGGTTCTCTGCCAACGTTTTCACCTACCTTCACGTCTGCCGACATGCTTTCATCTCCTCTTCGCATCACCTCCTCCATGTCACCCTCGCACCGACGACCAACTCTCCACTTCCCGTTTGGGTTCCACTTGGGTGATAGCCTGTCGTGTGATATCACTTGTTGGTTTTCTTACAGAGTATGGCCAATCCACCTCCATTTCTTCCTGCATATTTGTTGCACATTTGGTTCCTGCTGGGTTGGTTCGCTCATAGCCAGAGATCCCTGTTGCTGATCTTTTCTAGTTGGCCATCTGATCTTGAGTGGTATTAGGCGAAGACACCTGTTGATGAATGTCTGTAGTTTGTTCAAAGTTCTCTTCATGATGCGCCACGTCTTTGATCTGTAAAGTAGCACTGACTTCACATCGGAGTTGAAAACCGGGATCGTATTTTTCATGCTGAGTGCTGTTGACCTCCATACAGACTCGAGAGAAATGAAAGCTTGCCTTGCTTTCCCGATACTCGCCTTGATGGTATCCTCGTTAGTTCCGTCCATTTGTAGGTGAATCGATGCTTCCCAGGTAAGTAAAAGAGGTTACCTCTTCCAGATTTCTCCCATTTATGCTGACTGTTGTTGTTGATGTTGGACAGGAATCTTCATCATCCCCACTGTTTTCTCTACGTTCACCTGAAGTTCTGTCTTCTCTCGATGCTTCTTCTGTCAACTTGTCGCTTTTCACTTGCATATCTTACACTTTGTGGGAAATCAGACATACATCATCGTCAAAGTTCAGATCCTCCAAGGGTTTGAGTGGGTTCATTTTATGCCTGTTTCCTCGCTGCCCGCCGCTGACTGTCGCACTATTCAGTCTACCGCAATCAGGAAAATCAATGGAGATAGATAGTAGGCAGCCAGCCTGTCTTACTCCCGTTTTCACTTCGAAGGATTCCATGAGTTTCCCGTTGTGGATTACTTGGTATGCAACATTTTCGTACAAATGTTAGATGAGATGTATAATTAATTGTTGGCGGCACCCCTTGGTAGTAGCGAAGTAGTTTCCAAATCACCTCCCGATCAATGCTGTCGAAGTTAACTTAAATTACATTGAATTCTTTATTCGATAAGATACATCTCTCCCTTTATTAGATTGATCTTAGGAAGGGATGATACCCTAATAGCACAATACAAGAGTATTTAGAAAAACCATTATTAATTGGCAACTCTATGTACACATAGGTAAAATACGTCTACTTCATATTAGAATCACCATTTATACATGCCTTCTGTATTGTGCTTCTTTGTATCTCTACGCCATGTTTCTCATGTTTCTTCACAAGCATCATTTATTTCTTCTCTTCACCATTGATTCCATCCATAATATCTCTTCGATTCTTGCAGATGATATGCATATTTTTTTGTCTGTGTGTATATACTACTTATAAATCTTGTCAGTAATAAACGCCACAATACTATGTCAGAAACATTGAGATCGTATGATGGACAATTTAGCTTTAACACAGATTATTTCATTGATCTCGATTGATTCCACCTATTAGCATCAATCCCTTAGTGTTTTGTTTCTGAAAGCTTCAATTATAACTAGAAAGGTGAAAGTATCATCGGAATGTGACATTTCAATATATATAGCCCAGGAAAGATATCTTTTCGACGATTTCATCCTCAAAAGCAGCTATATAATCGCATTTATATACATAAGTTTACATAGATACTAATTACTATTATTTAATTCCACATATTAGCAAAGGTGATTAGAGGTGATAATAATTTTCAGCTTCATATGAGAGTTCGAAGATGCGAATATAGATTGCAAGGGTCATACAAACAAAATTATACAGGATTAGAAATTAGTTGGGTTATATGTGAAATAGGTTTTTTTTTTGATAACGAATACAAGTGTGAATAGGAAGAGCATGGAAAGAAATTGAAATAATGATATTTTACAACTGAAAATGAAAAAAAATATGAAGGGAATAAAAAAATCAAAGGAAACGAAAACCAACCTGTTAAACCAAACTAGATCCGTGGTAAATGCAGACGTGTGGGACTGGTTTCGTTTGAACAAATAGCTCCGGCTTTTCGGTGCATATGGTGAGAGCTTTTGCAGTACTTTGTAAATGACTTTGAATGATGAGTCAGTTGAGATGCTGTGACAGGTGTTCAATGATAGCGCTTTTAACTGAACCAGCGCCTCCTCTATCCAGTCCTGCTGGATAATGTTCTCTAACACATTTTGAAAGGATGAGCATAGAACAGCCTTATGTACCTAGCTCCGCACAAGCAGGTTAACTGGTATATTCACATTGGTGTGGTCTTACGTGGAAGTTTTACCTTCACATAGCTTAGAAGCAGTGGTTGGCTAGACAATATCACCCTTAGAATTGCTACAGGAAGGGTCTTCTTTAGGAAACTAGAGATTTTCTTCTTGAGGGTATTTCTCGCCGAGTCTCCCCTGGTGCCTGGTATCCGGTATGAGCCGGGATACTTTTGAGAAATGAGAGCTCTTCTTCTAGGCAGTGAATGCTGCAAATTCTTCTGATACGATGGACCAGTGAAATGATGAGAGCTCTTTTTCAACTGACATGTATATCTACAAGTATAAATAAACTATTATTTCAAATTTGTAATGTATATTCACATCTTCGAACTTTCATATCATTATTATTATTATTGTTCCCTTGGGTTCCTAGTGGAACATAGGGCTTCAACTGCACGACTTCACTTGCTTCTGTCTTCTGCTGTGTTTTTCACCTGCATCCATGTTAGTCCATACTGTTTCAATCCTCTTCACAGATTTCCTCCATGTCACCCTTGCACCGACGAACCACTCGCCGCTTCCCTTTCGGGTTCCACTCGAGCTATGGCCTGACGCGCAATGTCACCCAGCGGCCTCCTCAGCTCAGTGAGTGTCCAATCCATCTCCACTTTCTCCTGCATATTTGTTGAGCGATTGGTTCTTGTTTTGTTTGTCCCCACAGTTTCTTGTTGGTGATTCTTTCCGGCCATCTGATCTTGAGTATAGAGCGAAGACAGTTGTTGATAAAGGTGTGCAACAGGCTGTTGGAAATATTCTTTGTGACCCACTGGCCAAGTTTCTGATCCATATAGCAAAACTGACTTGACGTTTGTATTGAAAATCCGAATTTCGTTGTTAATACTGAGTGACGAAGATTTCCAGATTAATTTCAGGTTGATGAATGTGTTTCTCGCCTTCCCGATTCTCGCTCGATTTGACATGCTCGTCGGTTCCTCCTGTAGTTGAGACAATGCTCCCTAGATAAGTAAGTGAATGAAGTAACCTCTTTCAAATCCCTCCCGTTGATGGTGATTGGCGCTGGATGTTGCAGCTGTTGTTGTTGTTGTTGTTGTTGGTTGGTTGCTTATCATATCAACTTTCATATCAAGTTGAAGATTATTATTATCTGGAATCACCTTCGTTATTTTGTGGAATTATATAATAACAATAGTACTATTGTAAACTTATGTATATATTTGCGATTATACAGCTGCTTTCGGGAGTGAAATCGCCGAGAAGGGATCTGTTTGCTGTGCTTCCTGTTCTTATCTCTCTCTCTGATGTATATATACATATATAACCCTCAACATTGACTAATACTCATACTGGTGTGAATAAAAAAAAGTATTTTTAACATCGTTTTGAAATTGCCTCATTTTATTTCGTGTATTACTTATACTGAGGTGCCATTTTTTCCTTTACTAATTTTTAACCAAATCCTACTTATACATACATATGGGTATATGTTATATCAACATTCTTTAATTTATACGATTCATTAACTCATCAATACAAATAAAACTGTCCATCATTAATGCAAATTTCTTCATATTTATCTCTTTATTTAGCTCACTGGGAGGTCTGATAAATTGTCACAGAAAGTAAGTTCTCTGAATTTGAATTTGTTTTGTTTAACTGCATGAGCTTTATGCAAATTGGTACATGTAACGGAATGCTTGTTTAGAAAATCCCTCCTGAACGATCTGCTATTGATACTTATTTTGATATTTCATTGAGTCGGGTCGCCAGTGGCTGAATGGTATATGAGCTCGCCTTGTAACCGGAAGGCCCTTGGGTTCGAACTCTGGCGGTGGGTGCGTACTGATGATGAGTCCCAAACTAGGCTAATGAAACAGCTGTCCAGTACTCCCTGTTGGTTTTCAGTGGTTCTCTAACTGATATCAATCTGTGGTCAAACTCGATAAACAAATCAACTTTTGAGGACTTAGTAATTATTTTTCCCTCTTTTCCTAGGCTATAAATATTATTGCCCTAACGTTTGCATATCAAATGTTTATGCAATCCTGATTATTCCATATTAGTTTGTTTATTAGATGTATCACACAGTCAGTGAAACAGTATTATTTACTGGATGACGTTTCGAACAAAATTTATTGTTCATAATCATATCATCAATTATAATCACACGACTTCGAAACTTGAGTTTTATAGTTTTCTTTGTTCTCTCCTATTTGTCGTCGTAGGTGTGTTAATAGAATTTTCCAGATATCCGACTGGACAGGTGTTGAATCATTCCTATTACATGTGTTTGCAGTTGATTCGATGAACAAAGCTTCTGTTATCAATCTCTCTCTCCAATCTGCTGTTATATTAGATTTTAAAACTGTCATCCTATCCCATGCATCCTATTGTATGGTTGTGTGTAATTGCATGTAGTGAGTACTATAGCTGAACTATTCTCTAGATTTCTTATCTTATTTGGATCAACCAATCTAGATTTTGCTAGGTTTTTATGCTCGGCTAGTCTGACTGCACACCTATTCAACTAGTTTGACCTATGTATTTGACCTGACAATCATTGCAGGTAGGGTATTAGATAAACTAAATTGTTTTGTTTTAAAGGTTCCACAGGATTGATCCTTTAACCGACAAGGCTTGTTTCTAATTGAGTTTGTTGGGGAGGGGACGGTTTGAATGCCAGCCACTTTTACTCCTGCGTAAGGTTTCTGAGGTTCCTTCCTTGTATGGAATTACTACTGATGATTTAGATTCCTTATTGTTGGTGTCATTAATATTTGATTATTATTATCACTATCGCTACTATCATTATTTATTTTATTTTTACATTTCCTTACATATTTCGTGACTAATTTATCCGGTAATTATTAAGTTTCAAGGCTTCTCTTATATGTCTCACTTCCTGCCTTAGATTTTCTTTGGTACTACTTAGTTTTTGTGCTCTGTCATTTAAACATTTCACCAATCCTATTTTTACTGACATAGGGTGTGATGATCGGAAATCCAAATATGGGTTTGAATGTGTGGGTTTCCTGTAAACACTAACTAGTGTTTAACTTCCCATCTTCTTTCCTTTTTACGTTGCAATCTAACATTGGAAGCTCCCCTTCCTGACTTTCCAATTCATAAGTGAATTGAATTGCTTCAACCTTCAATCCTGATTATTTGTATTTGTCACTGTTTAATCTCTAATTGTAATGCTTCTTTTCATGGTTGTGCGATGCATCGATAATGTGTGTTGTTTTTACGAATGCGATTGTGCTTGAGTGAATCAAAGTTATTCTGATCTTGGACTGTTTTTCATTGGACACTAGTCAGTAACTAGTGTAATGTGTGTGCGTCTAGTCCTATCTTCGGTGCAGACTGAATTCTATCAGTCAAGCTTGCTGCAATGTGGCCACCATGCTAGTTGGTGGCTCGCCATCACGGTGCACTGTGAATTGTTGGTATTAGGTGGTTGGAGGCAATCGGTTACAGGAAGCCTTGCTCGACCTAGGTTTCGTGCTAGTTGGCACTCATCAGCAAGGCGTATCTGCAACTTAGCATGGTGACCACATCGCAAGTTCGACTGATAGAATTCAGTCTGCACCAAAGATAGGACTAGGCACACATATTTCAATAGTTACCGACTAGTGTCCAACAGGAGGTCAATCGCGAGCCTGAATATCTCGGTGGTAACGTCTGTGACTGCAGCACTGGGTGACGCGGGTTCGACTCTCAGAAGGGACATGAGTTCCTTCAAACGGGTTGCAGATACGCCTTGCTGAGTGGTGAGTGCCAACTAGCACGAAACCTAGGTCAGGCAAGGGTTCCTGTGGCCGATAGCCTCCAACCATCTAATACCAACAGATCTTGAACTTTCTTCGCTAATTGTTTGGTGTGTGATTCTTGCTGACAGAAGTTTGATCCCATCTTGTTGGGACTATTCTTCCTGATTCTCAGTTTATTTTTTATGGTTGATTTGGTTGAATAATTTCGTTTTATAGTACTTGTTTTGTACGCAGAACGTTCTCTTGACTGTGTAGCTGCCTAGTCGCACTGTTGAGTTTTTAATGTTATTATTGTTGATTAGAACTGCATAGATCTAACCATGAATAACAGTCTTTTTGCTGTATTTGGAGTGTTTTGTGACTGCGCGTGACTCAAGGAGGAAGTTTTTGGTCAGATATACAGTAAAACACAAAGATCAACTTCCTGTGTTCAGACCACAACGAGTCAATTTTGGGCGTTACATTATATACCACTGAATGAGTGAATGACTACTATGACTAGTTGGGAATCGCTCATATTAACCAAATAGTCCTTATTAGTCACATCCGGGGGATCTCAGCACTAAGCGGCCATTTCGCCCCTTTTTTTATAATTAGCCTATGTACTCAGATTGACTCAGCTAAGAAGTCTGAATCACTACTGACCTGCAAGCCACTGCTGGTTGACGTGAACAACTTTCAAATAGTCAGTCTTATTTATATGCCGCCTTCCTAAATTTTGCCTCCTTTTTGATTGTCAGTAGTGATGATATCAAATAGATCATCGATTGTAATCTGAATATTTCAGGTTTCTATAGGAAGTTGTGTTGAATTTTCATCTCACTCAAGCTGTATTACTCTCAGATAACGAATTTTAACACTTAGTTTTCTTACCGATTGTTGTATCTAAATGCATATATCCCCACCCCATGTAGGCTACATTGATTGGTTTGTTTTCTTGGGGACATAAACCTTGTGTGTCCATTGCCACAGGTGCAGCCGTCGGTATACGTCAATGTATAAAGAATACTTCACTTTGATTGAGGCCTGCATCTGCTTTGTGTGTGTGTGTGTGTGTTAATTGTAAATACATGAAAACGTCATTGAAACATTTTGTCTTGTATTGATTTTCTATTTCAGACAAACACACACACACACGTACATGTTTCAACTACAAAACCAGCTAATTAACATTACATCTAATTCATCCGTCTGCCTACCACCGAAATAACAGTTTTTGATACTATTTGACTGCTGTCTTGACTGTGGTTATTGTACTATTATGTATATATTATCGAGTGTTGATTTGCAGGAATTTGATTGTTTACTGGTTTGATCACGAGATGATATTACATAGAGAACCATTGGATAACTTGAGAGTACTGGACAGCTGTTTCGTCCTGGTTTGAGACTCTTCGAAGTGCACACCCACCTACTGGGGTTCGTACACAGGACCTTCCAGTTACAAAGCCACCTCGTAGACCATTCAGCCAGTGGCCAGTCCATGAATTCCAACTTCTGCTTATAGGGATCGAGTTCCAGTGTCTGGATGGTCTAAGAGTATATATATATATATATATATATATATATATATATCTGATCTTGACTATAGAGCGAAGACAGCTGTTGATAAAGGTCTACAACAGGCTGTTAGAGATATTCTTTGTGACCCGCCGCCAAGTTTCTGATCCGTATAGAAGAAGTGATTTGACGTTTGTACTGAAAATCCGAATTTTGTTGTTGATGCTGAGTTGAGTGACGAAGATTTGCGGATTGGTTTCAGGTTAATGAATGTGTTTCTCGCCTTCCCGATTCTCGATTTGACATCCTCATCCGTTCCTTCTGTAGTTGAGACAATGCTCCCTAGATAAGTGAATGAAGTAACCTCTTTCAAATCCCTCCCGTTGATGGTGATTGGCGGTGGCTGTTGCTTCTGTTGTTGTTGTTGGTTGGTTATTTTCATAGCATCCGTCTTGTCTATGTTCAATTGGAGTCCTGTCTTTGCTGCTCTTTCGACCAGTTTGTCGGTTTTCGCTTGAAAGTCTTCGATTTTGTGTGACATCAAACATAAATCATCCACGCGCGAAATCCAGGTCTTCTAGGTTCTTCACGTCAGTCCAGGATATCCCTGTCTTCTCGTTTCCCACTGTCTGACGCATAATCCAGTCCACCACAATTAGGAATGTCATTGGTGATAATAATCACCCTTGTCTGACTCCTGTGTTTACTCCAAACGCCTCGCTAAGTTTTCCGTTGTGGATCACTTGACATGTTTATGAAATAGGGTAGATGATATGGCCTGTAACACATCGTCAAATTTTCTATAACTGGGTATAATATTGCTCGAATTCGGGTTCGATGCTGTATGTAATGGGCGAATTGACTGGAATCCGAATACGATTATCTTCACCTCATTTACCTTCTGCTGCCCCTGTGCTCACAGAAAAATTAGAAGATAAAACTGGTCTTTGCCACCATTGTGAACGCGAACTTTTGCTTCAGCTCAACATCTTTTAGCGAAAGAGAGAGATGTACCCGAGAAGTTTGTTAACTTCCTAAAAGCCTTATTTAAAAATACCTCGGGTGGAGTGAGGTCATACAACCACCACTGTTCCCAACCAACAGTGGGATTAGACAGCGTTGCCGAATCTCTCTTCATTTCTCTTCAACTTTGCCATCGATGATATTCTAGAGTCAGTTGTGAAGGAAGTGAGTGGTGGTAGTGGTGTAGATCTGCTTCCCTCGAGAAAGCCTTTTTGACGTCGAGTATTCAGACGATGTCGTTCTATTGTTCGATAGCATGCAGGCTACCCAAATCTCACTTAATCAGTTGGCGATCATTGTCTATAAGTATGGTATGTGCTTTACACTGT